TGATTATCCTATTTTGTTTAAGGTGACGAAGGATTAGTAAGTAAATTACTCCACAATCATTCCATTCGACATCGCATAGTCTTGCTTCCTAAAAGGTAGTAGTCTCACCCCAGCTGAAGTTGACTGCCCTTTTGACCCCACCTGAACTCGTCTCATCAGCACCTCCAGCGAGACTAGAACCATGACAGCGCGTCCGACAATCTCGACACGTTAACCACTACGCCACATTGCCCCGAGTGCCCTTGGGTCGCAGGGTCAGGCAGTTTGCAATATCACATAGTCAATGAAGCAAAGTGATATTTGCCATAGCAACCGACTACATTACTTGCTTTTCGTTTGCAAGTAGGCTGTTGAGACTACTATTAAATCAGAAAATATGAAATGTGTTCGTCTCGATTTCGTTAAAGATGCTAAAGAAATATATATTTTATAACTGATTTACTGGTAGTTGCAAATACCGGCTTAAAGACAAAAACTAGTATCGTGTAATTGCCAATTCATTTGGAAGTTTTGATGAAACCCAAGTGAAAGTAACTAATGACATCATGAGGTTTACATATTTTATTGTGGGAAAAACCAAACTGTCAGTGTTCAACTCGCACTAAAATAAACAAGCTGATTAAGTTTTCATTATGATATGCATTTACCCTATTTTTTTCCACAATGATATGAGTAGACCTGACGATTCCATTTCGAATCCCTCTGAGGGTGTTGATAGGACCGATGCGAGGTCGAAACTGCAGTCCGCTTGAGCCGGGAAGAGAACAAGTTTTGGAAAATCAAGGCTCTATGAAACTCAATGGAAACGTCAGCTCTACTCATATGATTTTTGAAAATTCTACTACCAGTCCTTCATCACCTTAAATGAAATAGGGCTAATACATTTCAAGGAAGTTCAGACATTTTCACATATCACATTTTTTGGTGGGATTGTCGATGAATCAGAGAATAATTTTCTATATCAATCGACTAATTTGTTTAGTCTCCTCTTCTAACTAGACTCTTGAGACTACCAGTGGATGTGATATAAGATCTACATTTATCCTGCGGTGATAAGGGAAATGGTATTTGAATTTTCAAACAATCATTTGTGTAGACCTTACGTTTTTATTGAATTCCACATAGCCTTGCTTCCCAAAATGTATTATCAATTCTGCTGGACTGCAGTTTTGATTTTGTCTAGTTTTTATAGCTTGCTTGTCCATTTTACATGGCATTTAATGACATGTCAATGTGTGAATTTTATTGCAAATAATTCAGCGTTTGTCGGCAATTGTCCGTGTCCGATTGTGCGATAAAATCTTATTTTACTTCAGAATTTAATCGATTACATTTTATTTCAATAAATTCCAATGTATTTCATTGTGTGAGGTTGTGTTGCATAGTAATGTTTGGTACTCCGTCCTACGAGTCTCTGATGCATGCTTTTTTGTAGTTGTACTTTGTGAGTTTGCATTTTGATGCCATTTTGTTGTTGCGCATACAATTTGTCATTCAGTTTTGTGTAGCATTAAAATGAGGTGTACGGCCTTTCCAACGCTTCAGACTTCAGGTGGGATTACAAGTGAGGTCAATAGAGCCTGGCTTACAAAAACTTCAGAAATATTTTTTATGTATTTAAGTAGTGCATAAGTAGTATTAAGAGTATGAAGGGACGAGGATAGTTCCAGAGTTTGGCTATTCACTATCATCATTTTCACGAGATTCACTTTGGCTGTCCAAACTTTTGAGCTCCTCGGAACTGCTGGCTCGTTCGGTTGCATCCGTTTTTTCCCAGTCACCAGATCGTCTTGCTGCCTGGATTTGGTTGACCACTTGGCACTGCATCAGGCAGCAGACACAGCAACAGCTGCCTAAGAGACAGGCAACATCGCCCGTTGGTCCGCCCTCAAGGTTGAGACGTCGCCGGAGTCGTTGTCGCGCCACCAGCAGCACCAACGGTTGGATGGGCACCAGCAAGAAGCTGAGCAGAAGAGCCAGGCCGAGTGGAAGACCGAAGACGAACCGGTAGATGGGCATCATGTGCAATGGGCAGAGGAGGAGGCAGCAGCAACAGTTGACTGGAGAGAGATTACGGTTGGGGTAGGGGTAGGGGACAGAAAAGGTGTAGAATGAGGTTGCTACGACGACTTGGCACTTGAGGCAGAGCAGAAAAGTCAAAGTCATTGGAGTCAAGGCAGTT